CTCTTTTTATTATCAAATAACTAGTCCATGTTCAGTTTTCCTTGATTATGTTTTATTTTTTAATGTAGACCTTGTATCTGGTTACTTTATGGAATCCATCTATATAATTTAATTTTGTAGTTGTTTATGTGGGATTTTTCTAGACACACAGATGTCACCATTGTCGCCAGCAAATAATAATCAGTTTATCTGTTCCTATATAAAATGTTTTGTTTTTTCTGGTTATACATTGATGAGGACCTCAGAACAATGTTGGTTACTATTGGTAATAAGGGATATTAATGAGAATGGTCTAATTTATCATTAATTATTAAGTGTGATATCGTTTTGCTTCTGCCAAGTGCCTAGGGACAATTCCAGGGTAACTGGTGGCTTTGAACTTAGTTCTCAGCTTGAGGATTTTTAGACCACGGAAGTGATGAGAAATCTGGCCTCAGTCCTGTGCGAGGGTCAACTTGTGTTTACAAGTTGTCAGGGAGGAGGTTTTTTAACCTCCTTCTACCTCATGCCAAGGTCAAGAAGGCACGTTTCAAGTTTCCTCGCTGATTGGATGCTGGTTTGCCCTGACCCTGGTGGTGTCCTCTTGGGGTTATCACCTTCACGCAGTGGCCTTGTCTCGTCAGGCCTGTGTTGGTGGCTCTTAGGCCCTGAGTGGGTGTCAGAACATACCCGTGGCCAGCAGGGTTCCGCCGCAGAGCTTCTGGGACCCGCTGTTGTGTTACTGTTGGCCTCTGGAGGAATGTTTGTTTCTGCCTGGTCAGTGGTACATTTAGAAAGGTAACATTTTTGTTTTTTTTGTTTGTTTGTTTTGTTTGTTTACAAAACTATTTAATAATTTGTTCATGGTTTTCAAAAGCCAGAAAAATGATCTTTTCCTTTTTTTATGGATAACGTTTTTCCCTTCAGCATTTTCACGCTTAGCAGGAAGGGGAATTGTCCAGAATACTTAGTAGTCTTCTGTTCTTCCAGAAAGGGAAATGCACATACATTTTTGTAATCAGAAAAAAAATAAAACCTGCTTCCACTGGAGCAGTTGGAGGAATGTTAGGAGTTAAGCTTTCCGTTTGTTGTGTAGGTATGGCTGAGGGCCTTGCCCATTTAATCCTGCCTCTAGCATAGGGGACCTCACTCACATGTTCCTAGAATTTGTTATCAAAGCAACTTGGTCTGCCTGGAGGAAGTGTTCTCCTTTCTGTTGGTAATTGTAACAGTGTCTTCATTGCCTTGACTAGACACATGTCAGGAATCTATTTTCCCCATCACAGCAGCTCTGCCACTGATGCAGGCTTTTAGCTTGTTCTTCTTCGAAGAGAGAAGAAGTAATTATTTTTTTAAATTTTGCTAGGCTACCTCAAATCCTTTCTATAAGAGTAAATCCACTGTTAATCTCAGCCTCTTTCCCCTCTTCCCTTCTCACCTGTTCCTCCAGTTCCTCCATCATCACCATCATCCTGTTTACTCCTACACCACAGTAAAGCCACAAGTTTAATATGCACCATAGGTTCTGATGATTATCACGGTGGGACCTCTTAATGAACGTTGACCGCTTCACTAAGCCAGCTGCTGGGAAGCCAGTAGTGGGATCCCCGGGGCACTCAGGACACTGACGCTACTTAAGTGTGACATAAACACACTTTTCAAACTTGCACAACAGAGCAAATTCTTCATAAAACATAATCAGGGTAATAGACTTTAAGATAGATGCCATCTCAATATTATATTTAATTTGCACCTGGCAGAAAAATCGTGAAGACTACTTGAACTTTAATAATAATACCAGCTGCTATTATAATTATTGTTTAGTCAAGTTTGGACTACGTGTCCGTTCCTGTACCTTCCATTCCCACCTTAACTGTCCAAAACAACTGCCTAACTTGCTGCCCACCCACACTTGTGTCTGTAATTCTTGCTTTTCTGGTTAGAAACAACAAGAATGTCCCCTGCTGCTTTGTGCTTGGAAACCGTAAATGGGGGAAGGGGTCTAGATCCCCCCTTGCTTTACTCAAAACAGGGCATGAATTGCTTAAAGAAGGTGTTGTTTTGTTTTGTTTTGTTTTTCTTAATTTACTGTGGGATGAGATATTCCTAGCACTTCTCATAGGATTCTTGATCTCGTTTTGCAAACGAACAAACTGAGTCTTCCAAGGCTAAACAGTAATGTGATTAGGGACATCTAACTTATGACAAAGTTGAAATTGCAGCCCAGGAGTAGTTAACTCCCAGACACATACATATTCTGTTTTGAGTGTGACATTATAGTCCTACTACATTAAAGGTAAATATCATCAAGTGTAGGTGATATATTATCTTGTGTGTTTCACATGCTAACATACCAAATTTGTGAAATTGACTGATGATTTCTGGTCTCATTTTGATCAGAATTCCCAACATGTGTATTGAGAAGAACAAGAAATACCCTGTCTCTTAAAACAGATGGTGTTTAACACCTTCACCGTTATTAATGTGGCATTTTTATTCTTTACCCGGTAGCTTTGATAAAGTGTGTTCACACGTGTTGTCGTTGGATCCTCACTGTTGAGTGTGACAGGTGGCAGAGCAGGTGCGTGATTCCTTCTGACCCTTTCGTGGCTGGAATGGCCTTCAGGGAATGAGGTGAAGGAGAACTAGGATGCGTTGGAATGCTGGTTGCAGTTTTTACACGCTTTGGGTGTCGGATTTCAGGAATACTTGTTTCATCCAATGTAGTTTTTCATGCGCTGTTACCCTTCTGTAACCCTTGTTGCCACTGTGTAGGACCCAGAACTACTTCGGTCACCAAGGTGCACAGGCAGATAGCATTCTATGATTACCTGCGCTGGGGACTATTTTGGCAACAAATCCCTTTCCTTAGCCCTTCGCCGTTTAGACTGAAATAATGAGAAAAATTGCTCGTTCTCAGCCGAGGCCATCACTCCAGTGAGCTGTGCACCTTACCTTCTCAGAGGTATTTATTTTCTTTACAATCACTAGCACATGGAATCCCATGACTGGCAGTAGTTCTTTCATCATGGAATCATCATAGTTGTTTAGTAGAGATGATGGTGTATCTGGCAGGTCTCCTGTTGGGATCTTCATCAAGTTTGTAGAGTTAAAACTTTTCAAAAGTACAAAAGAGCAAGTTCATTTGTAGTCGTGCTGATCGGTAAACACCGCCTATCTTTCAGTTGCGCCTTAGAGGAGAATCAGTGTTTTCCTGTAGGTTTTCTTTCAACCATTTGCAGTCAATGGAAATTTTCTTTTCTGATAGCCGGAGAGCATATTTTACCACTTCACCTGTTTTACCCTATTTAGTTTTGTATAAAAGATTTGAAATAACAGGAGGTAAGAATGGTAGACAAAAACGTAACCCAAATTATTCCAGCTACTCTGAATTCCGATTCAAAGGTGTTACTCTGATTGCTGTGTAAATGGCTGATTGACGTATTCAGTAACTAACATGTCCCAGTCACTACCCTTCTTCACAGCCCTAGAAATAAGGGCTGTTAGAATGACGTTCGCCCCCGTACCTGTTTAGGAATATGCGCTAGGATGCTTATGTTCCAGGAACTGTGTAAGCCGGGTAGGGATTCTACAAAGCATCATGATAGGCTCTTCCGAATGCTCTGTCAGTTGATCCTGTTAAAGTCTTGGGTTTGAGAAAATGCCCCTTGACAATCTCTTGAGTCCATGAAAATAGGGTGTTTGGATTAAATTTTATTACCCTCCATCATCTGTTGTTCTTATTTCCTTCATTGCAGTTACCACAATCTAAATCACTTTTTACAAATGTATTCACTTTGTATTTTCTTCACCAGATTATAAACTCCAAAACAGAGCTTGCGTGTTTCTTTCACTGCTGTATCTCCATTGCTCTCTGTCACCGTGGTTCCCAATAAATATGTAGTCAGTGAGTGAATGAATATTGTGCACCTATCGGCTTTTACGCCAGGAGTGACACAGTGAATAAGGATATAAACATGAGTCGGACATTGTGTTGTCCCTGCCCTCAAGATGTTTACTTTGGAAATAAAATAAGGACAGAATTGTGATACACCATGTGAACGGCAATATGAAGTCAGTAAGCTATTTTTTCAGCTGGATGAGATGGTGGGGGTTTTGCAGAGGAAGGAGAGGCAGTTTTGCTGGATGCATTGGTCCTGTTTATATATGACCACAGGCTTTAAAAATGCACCCTTTTTAACATTCCTCCTAGAAGCTGTCATCTTCAGAAAGAGGCCTATATTGGTATTGAAATGGTAAAAAAATGGAACAATATAATAACAAGGAGAGCTACCATGTTTTGGGTGCCTGCCGTGTGCCAGGCATGGTTTCAAGAGCCTTATATGTATTGTTGGAACTTCATCCTCCCAACATTCAGAGCAGACAGGATTGTTAGTGTCCTCGTTACATAAATAACGGAAGGGACGGGAGTGATGTGTCCAGTACAGCTTTGGGACAGGATCGAAGTGTCCTTCAGCCCTGTACTTGCTACAGCTGTTTCACCCCATGATTCCAGGGTTGGTATCTGGTGGATTTCCACAGATTGTCTTTGTGAAATGAACCCTGCGGGGGATGCACTGACCTTTTGCCAGACCCACCTCAGTCCTTATAGTGATACATCCTGGGAAGGGGATTGGATGCAGGACAGGTTGGAAAGCTCACCTGGGATCTTCTGGGGTGATGAAAAGACGTTTGCTAAACGTCTTGGCTTTCTGGCTTGGCTTTGGGGCTTAACACCTTTGACGCTTACTTTTTTTTCATATGTAGTCACGGGATGTGGAGTCTAGTATAGGGAATAGAGTCAGTGACACTTACTTCTTGATTGTAGGACTAGCCAGCTAATCAGTCCTCCGATCCTACCTCTGGGATGTGCTTGTTCACTCTGCATAGACCTCCCTCTCATGAACATCTTACTCAATACCAACCCTCCCCTGACACTAGGATGTCTCATTAGCCCTGCGAGTTCAGTGCCTTTGTCTGATATGGGACATGCGAGTCAGTTTCAGCAATAGGGGACATTTCACTGGCATTGCTTGACAGGTGTTTATATTCAGATGTTTGCATGCTATATGAATGTAAACTTTCGTTCACTGGGTTCTTTTTTTTTTACTCAGTTCATAACTTAATACAACAAGCAGTGTAAAAGTGAGCCCCTCTTAGGATCCATTATTTCATGGCACGTGGTCTTCAAGCATTCGTTGAGATGGGAGGAAGGGAAGGAGAAGTTCATTCAAGGCAGACGAAACTGCACGTTGCAAAGACACACGATGGCCCAGCATATACGGGGCCCTTGCCTTGTGGTTGGACATGCCTTGAGATTTGAACATGACGGGATACTCAGAAGCTTGTAATAATAATACTAAGCTGACACACTAAACGAAGTGTTTATAAATGATTTTCCAGACCAAGAGCTTAGATGTTTTTATTCTGAGATCATGTGATGTCTTTTCCTTTCTCTTGATTTAATTTATCCTTTTCCCCCATCAGTTTGAGTAATGTGTGCCATTCTTTTCACCAGCAATTTGGTGGTACACTGTATTGAGCTAAATATTACCGAATGGTCATAGCTGAGTGTGCTGTTCATATTTAAGGAGTTTTAAAGGAGAAACAAGTACAGTGCCTGTTGGGTTTGCATGGGAACATTTAGACCGAAAGCCAATCTTGGTGTCTCGTGTGGATTTTGATTATGTAAGACAGCCCGTGTTGGTTTTAAAGCTCTTTCTTTTTTCTCCTTCACACCTGCTAGCTAGGTGATGTGATGGTTGACATTGCCAGTAACATCATGTTGGCCGATGAACGTGTCCTGTGGCTGGCGCAGCGGGAAGCGAAAGCCTGCAGTAGGATCGTCCAGTGTCTACAGCGGATCGCTACATACCGGCTAGCAAACGGAGCTCATGTTTATTCAACAGTGAGTATAACGTTATCCTAGAAGTGTAAGAAAAAAATGTCTTATGCTTTAAACAAATTTTTTAAGAGGAGACTTTGTCCTTATATGGTACTTAGAATGGTACCTTACCTATACAGTAGGCATAGACTTACTTATCCTTAAAGAAAGGAAAGAGATGCCATATTGTCCTTAGAATTGACAGTAAATCTTGTCATCTTGCTGGACATTTCCTGGACACTTCTTGTGCCCTCTCTTGTGTGGTTCTGGCAGGTGGGAGTGATGCTGGCAGTCCTCCAGGTGTGTCCGTTTGCATCAACAGGTCATACATTTGGTGGACCCCAAGTTTAGTCTCACTCTTGAATTTCTGAAACTGTTGGGGCAGATGCCATCTTTTTAATTTTTTTTTTTTTTTAGTATTTTGGCTAAATTTGCTTTGAACACCTGTTCATTTACTACTGTTTAGACTAAAACCTCCCTTCCTTTTCTAAAGAAGCACTTTTGGGTCTGTGTAAAATTTTTATTGGTGAAACTTAATGCAATGAGTTAAGTGGAAGTCCTTGTAAAAGAAAAAAGTGAATATGGATGAAATGTTGAACAAGGCGACTTTTAACTGTGCCTCCCAAACCCTGATACTCCTTTATTATGATCATTAAGGGGGTCCACTGATTTCTCTCGCTGAATTTTATTTTTATAAGACACTTCCGTTTTTAGCTTATACTTTCCAGCAAAATGGTCTTGAAATTATTTTTGATTGACTTTAAATTTATATTTGACCCTCCACACCTCGTAACTTGTTTTTTTCCTCTTCATCGGTATCTTTCTATTTTTGGACATCCATTTATTTCCAGTGTCCTTTTTTTTTTTTTAATTCTGCCATTTATCCTCACACTGTCTTTGTTTGGTAAGACCCTGAGTGTTGTCTTTTAGTTTATGTACAGTATTTTGTGTTTGAACCTTTTTGAAAGTGCTTTCTCCCCCATATTATAAATCTTTCATAACTCTTGTCTGATTGACTTTTGAAGTATTCACCCAATATTGCTCTGGAAGCTTATGTCATCAAGGCCACTGGCTTCACCGGCATGACATGCACCGTGTTCCAGAAAGTGGCCGCTTCCGACCGAACCGGCCTTTCTGACTATGGGAGGCGGGATCCTGATGGAAACCTGGACAAGCAGCTGAGCTTCAAGTGCAACATTTCAAATACATTTTCCAGCCTGGCACTGAAGGTATGTGATATTCTTATCATCTTTTAGACCCTTTGCAGTTATATTAGAATACTCACCATGTTTTCCTTTGCCAAAGAACCTCATTGAAAGTTATTTGGGGGAGAGGGAGATTGGTATTATTTTTGCTGTTGTTTTAAAAAAATTCAGACCAGAATGGGACACATTAAGACATTCATGGGCCTTGGCGTTTTTTGCCCTCTGGACCCCTTGCTTCACACAAAAATATCAAAATTACATTTTATGGCGGCAGTGGTAAAAACATGACTGTATTAATATTACGTATTAAAACGTTTTCTTTGACCTTGAAGTTCACTTTTACTGCCCCTGATTTGAAAGACACGAAGGTGTCATGAGTCCTTGGCCCTGTGCCTGCTGGACCTCGCACAGGGCAGTTCGGCCTCGACACTGGGCAGTTCACCGGGCAAGCTGTACATCAAGTCTTTTGGCAGAGAAAACGTGATGTGTCTTCAGAAAATGTGTGTTTTATTGCAGCAAGCAAAATTAAAAGCATTTTTATTGATTTTTAAAATGTGGGGTTTAGATGTGTTTCATTAAACTACATTAAAGCGAATCGTGAAGGTGTAATTCCAACTCCTAATGGAACCACATTTTTTCATTTAGCTTTGGGTGGCCATGTGTAACTGTGTTCTCTGTGGATGTTAATTACAAAGTACTTTCTTTGTTTCTGGCTTGTTCCTGAAGTATATCACAAACAGTATTCCAGTCATTTTAATGGCTGCATAATAATTGATCAGATAGGCGTTAGGGATTGATACATTGTGGTCACTCAATAAATATTGAGTGAATAAGTGAATGAATGCATGAAGAATTAATGTATTTTGCCATACCTTACCCTGGTGACCTCCAGAGGGAAAGCCAATTTGCTAAATTTAGAAAGAATCCACTTCCCCCATCACCCAAGACAATCTCAACTAGGTCAGAATGTCTAATGGTCATATATTTACTTGGTACTCAGAGGAATCGCCAATGTATTTGTTATTCTTGGCTCTGTGAGAGTACTTGATGTACCCAGCAATGCTGCTGTAGACCTGCCCCTTCCCTTGTTGCATTTTTTATTGGTAAAAGTATACCACAAAAGGCACGTAGCCACAGCCTCGCACCCAAGCCCATGAGAGAAATGTGTGCATCTTTGAGGCGCACTGAAAATTGATGAATCCTTCTATCTTAGGTGATCATAGTTGTTAGGGATTTAAAAATACCGAAGCCCTATACATTTCATCAATTTCACAACCTACCCCTCTGGGCAAGGAAAGCTTCTACTTGCTAAAGTAGAAAGCTTTAAATGAACACTCAGATTTATCAATTTCATATAATTCTATCCTTTTAAGATCACTCTGTGGCCAGAAACTAAGGACAAATGACATTATTACTCATGCTTCATAGATGGACACGATTACACTCAGTGAAAGAGGAACGTATCCTTCGTGACGCAAAATTAGTTAAACATTGTATTGTCGGCAATGCAAAATGCTTAAGCACTTGAACAAAAAGCTTCCTATACATTTTATACTTTATCCTAGGGCAAGTTTTACTCTTTGCGCGTCTGCTTTTTTTGTTTTTCTTTCTAGTGCCTGGAATGTGGTACTAACTAGACAACTTGAACATCCACTAATTGATAGTATTGCCCTTGAATGGGAGACTATGCTAGCATATGAACTTAAACCCCTCAGAGTGCAGTCCTTAGTAAGAGGAGCCTTACTTGCATGCTCTTGACACATTCCTTGAATCTCTGCCCTTCTGTCTTCTCTACCATCACAGCCTGGCTTCGACTCCCATCCTGTGTTGCCTGAACCATTGTGATCTACGTAGTCTGTCTCCAGGCTCTTCATTAAAAATCCATCTTTCTTGTATAGATAGATGGGTCTACTGAGGGCTGACATTGGCCAACAAGTACCACTATGGCCATGCCAGTTAGTAAAATATTGAAATACATCCTTAGCCTTCAGCAAATAGCTGGCACCACTGTCCCCTGAGTGCCCCCTCAGCCATGCAGGTCTTTCTGCTGGGGACACCACCCAGGTCTGCCCATCCTTTAATAACTGAAGGGCTGGTGCCTGCAGACAGAGGGCCTCTCTAGTCTTCCCTTCTGTGGAGGCCGTTTTGATGGTCAGTGTGAGCACCATTTCTGGTTGCTACTATTGTGAACATGATCACTGGCTCTACCCTACATGGAAATTGACCTTGCATATCCCCTGATAAACACCTTGTGTCTCTGCAGGCTGCCTGTCAAGTGGCTTCGTCATTTGGATTTATCCCTTGCTCCATATCTCTTCCTACCTCCTCTTCCTTTTGTCCAGTGACACCAAACTTCCCTTGGTTCCTCTCCCAACCACTGGCCATTTTTAGGCCTGGCTCACGCTAATTCTTCTGCTAGAATTTTCTCCTCTCCTCCCCTTCTCTTCCCCTCCTCTGCTCCATGGTGGTGTTAACACCCAGGAGAAACAGCACCTTAAAGCAGTCTTACCTGATACCATCCTGTCAGTTCTTGCAGCACCAAATCTAATTTTTTTCATAACCAAATGCTTCTTTCTACTATTGGCACCATAATTCAGATATGTTAGCGTCACAAAATATCTGTTTCTGATGAACTACTAAGAGCTTTTAGAAATTGTTGGTGTTTTGAAGTTAGCTGTGATGTAGCCAGAAAGAGCTGGTTCTTTAAAACTTTCTTGACTGGAACTTAGAAGTCAGTTTTTCTCTGCACACCCCATATTTCCCCCATCCTGGGTGTCTAGGTCTTGATCCCAGCTGAAGTCCTTTCAGTTTTCCTGGCCAGTTGTATACGTCATCATTGCTGCCCTTTTTCGTGCCCTCAGTCCTACCTCTGCCCGGTGAAGTCCCTGCTACCCTCCCTCTAAGACACCATTCATCATTGCCTGTTAGTCCCATAATGCTTTGTGCATTCTCTGGAATAATTAGAAGCTGTTATGATGGTGAGCTGAGTTACAGTGAGAGAGGCCATGGGATATGGTGACTAAGAATGTGGCCTTTCTGTGGCCAGACAGCCTAGATTCATGGTCTGCTCCCCCAGGCAACAGCTGTGCAAACTTGGGCAAGTACCTTAACCTCTCTGAATGTCAGTTCCTCATCCGTTACGTAGGAAATCATGAAATGGTATTTAACTCAAAGGATTATTGAGAGGCTTAATGGAGACAAATGTATAGACATTTACAGCAGTGCCCGGCACAGAGTAAGCATTTAGTAAACGTTAGCTCTTATTGTTTTATTATTGTTGTCCATGTCTTCTTAATTATGACTATTTGAGGGCAGGAGCAATGGCTTATTTCATTGTATTTCTCTAGATTCCCCACACTGCCAAGCAGAATAACGAAACATTCAATAAATGGTGTTGAATAAAAATTAACAGCCATATTTAATTAACAAAGACAGTTTTAAAAAAATTAATTCTAAAGGCAAACATAATCCCTGTGAATCTTTAGCAATGAGATACTCAAAAGGTGGTATGCAGTTAGAAACTGATTATACACAAGAAAATAATGAGGGTATGTCATCATAGCTATCTGTCTAAAATTGAGTGTGTAGATAGTCAAGAAAACATGGAGAGATTAGTATTTTATTGTTTTAAATAAGGTGGCTCTGACTCATTCTAATTTTAGTGTTAGAATTCTCTAGACTTAAACAAACCAGGATTTCAGAAAAGTGTAATTTAGTAATTACATAGGGGCAGAAGTCCAGATTGTTTTATAAGGAATGATGTTAAAATCCAGAAGTATTTGAGTTAACATCAATTATGATACTTGACATTTTTCTTCTTAGCCTGATGTCATTGTGAACAGGGAAATATACATGAAGTTAGCAAATACATTCATGATAAGAGCTTTATGATAACATTGATTTCATATGTGTTCATACTTTATCAATTTTTAGTATTGAAATTAATACTGGAATTATAGACGTAAAAACATGATGAGGGTTTAGATTATTGTTGGTAAATCAGTTACTTTTAGGAATTTTTCTCTCCCCCCAGCCTCCAGATAACCACTTACCACAAAATGACAGTAATAGTAATAGTAAAAATGCCACCCCCAGTTCTGTAGCCTTTTGTGTTTGTCATGGTCATGGCCCCATTTGGTCCTCACAGCCTTTTTTAGACCATTAGCTGTGTTTGACACAGGAGACTAAGAGAGGGAAATGAAATTCGGCAATGTTAAGCAGCTACAAACTCGTGAAGCTGGGCCCCAAATCTTGGTTTCTTGTTTCAAACCCCATATGAGCTTTCCATAATAAATATTAGACGACAAAACCATGGCTTTCCCAAAGGGTTTTAAGAGAGGTTTTTCTCATTTATTAGCTATAATTTATGGGTTTGTATCTATTTCCGTGTCTGTAATCCATACTTCTAAAAATAAATATGTGGTTAAATGAAATTATAAACTTTATGTTCCTTGACTTCAGGCCAAGTGGCAATAGGTCTCATGATGATTAATGTAAAAAAAAAAAATTAAACAGGTGTTCCTCATTGATTCTTAAAAAATTGGATTTATCACCTTTTCATAATAAATGATCAACACTTCTTTTAAAGAAATTAAATATATAGGTATTACATTCTTATTATAAAACTCTAAACATTATTGATACAGCTGAAGTTTGCTTTCCAGCGGCCCCAGGCCACCCTCTCTCTATCCTAGGGAATCTATAATTATTATTTAGTAATATTGTGTATTGAACTCTGAAGGATATTTTAGAAGCAATAAGTATGAACAGCCTTGAATGTGTAGCTCTCATCTCTCACCAATCTGTCCACACAACTGGGTTGCTTTTTTAAGAAATTTTATTGGGGAACAGCGTGTTTTTCCAGGACCCATCAGCTCCAAGTCAAGTAGTTGTTTCAATCTAGTTGTGGAGGGCCAGTTCCTTGGGCCATGTGGGAATTGAACCGGCAACCTTGGTGCTATGAGCCTGCATTCTAACCACCTGAGCTAACTGGCCGCCCCTGAGGGTTTTTTATATTGTTGTGGTTTGGAAGGTTTTGTACTTATAGAAATTATAGATGTCATTTTCTTTTTCAGCTCTCTTTTAAAACTATTAGTTTGACTTTTTTTTTTTAATTTGATTTGTCATAAGTAATACTTTCCCAGAGAGCTGTGCTTTGTTTTCAGGCCATTTTATGTTCACAACAAAATTATTCTGAATTTTATAGCATTTAAGTTTTAATAAATACCAGTATATAGTACTTTTTCAGGGTTTTGACCTCTTAATTAATTGATGTGTGGATATTTTTCCTTTTTTGAAAGCTTCATTACATACGTAAGAGAAATCTATATACTTAATAGAAATTTACTAGATTAGCAAATGAATTTATAATAAACCTTGTTTCTCCACCAGAGTACATTTGTGAGAATAGTAGAAGCCGTTTTTATGCATTTCGTAGGTGAAATATTTCTAATATTTTCTTGGCATCTTCAGTTTAAAAGTAAGATTCACACTGTCAATATGCAAATGTCCAAAATACTTTCCTTCAGCAGGTGTATGGATAGGTATCTGCTGTGTTCCAACATTGTTCTAAGCGCAGCAGGTAAAAACTAATTCTAAAGTCAATCATTTACTTAAATAGAATCTTTTCTTTTTTAAATGAACATGCCACACAGACTTCCATTAACTTTATAAACAATGGCCTACTTTTATCAAATATGAGTACCAGGAACTATTACTAACATGGGATGCGGGTCTAGAAAAATAAGTGAGATTATCACTTGCTGAGATTATCAACAAGCCTCCTACACTAGTTGGAGGAACAGACAGGGAGTTACACTGTGATACTGCAAATACTAGTTACACTGGAGATGTGTGCAGAATGTTGCAAGAGTCCAGAAGAGGGAGCAACTAACTGTAAAAGGTATATACACCGAGGACTCTTGTAATTAATCGTCCAAAAAAAGCCCTACTTAGAGGACTTTGTAAAATCCTTTCTTGGGTGCCAGCCTTTCTCATCCTGATCCGTCTTTCACAATGCCAACAGAATTATGTTGCTAAACATCAAATCTGACTCGTTTTAGTTTGCCAGATAGAAGAATAGTGGAGCATTTCAGCCAGGGACACTGAGAAAGAGAGAGGNAAAAAGTGATAAAAGTCACCCTTTCATCATTTAAGAAAGAAAGTAAAGAGGGAGAAATGAAAGAAAGAGGGAGGGAGGGAGGGAAAGAAGAAAAATAGGAGGTAAAATATTGATCAATTCAGTGTGGCCGGATTATAGATTGTGGTATAGGGATTGTTGAAAGATGAATTTGAGACATAGATTTTATCCAGGTTATATATATGTGTGTTTAGGATTTGGGGTCAGTATTCTCTAATCACTTGAAAACCAAGGTGTTACGTAAACTGAAATAACATGATCAGATTTGTTTCTTAAGAGGAAATTCTGTTGGCAGCTTAAATGTTGGATCTGAGAGAGAGGTTGGTGCCTAGGGAAAAACTGTGATGAATTCTTAAAATGGTGAATTTTGTTTTAGAGTTAATAATTTGCTTCCTGGGTTTCTAGATTTATTTTTTATTGAATGCTGAATAATTTATAATATAAAAATCCCTGATAAAGAAGTCTGAAAAACTTTCAGTGACCAGCCAGCATCTTTAGTAGTTGTTCCTACTTGTTACTGTTTCTTTTCCTAAACATAATGTGTTTCTTAGTCTCAGGGAAAGAGCTTCTAAAATAAGAGTTGTTGAATCTAAGCTTCTCTTATGTTTGGATAGTTTCTTTTTGTTGTTTGACAGTTTCAATCCATCGTAAATCACTTTAAAGCTCCACACGCCCAAATTAATTATACTCACATTTGTGATGTGCTCCATTTGTGCTATTTACTGGTTTGTCATTGTAAAATTGGGATGAAGAGTGATCACTGAGATTCTTGATCTGTTTAATGCTACCTGTTTCAGCAATATATATTGTCATGGGAAAAGTCACTTTGGTTTGAAACAATTTCTTGTTTATTTCTTTAACTCTGAAATAGAGTTTGCATTTCTCCTTATTTTTATTCTTTGGTTCTATGTTGTTATGTGGTGTTCAGACATTTCACTTAACTGATAAGTTGTTTTAACTATTATGTTTCATATATATGTTTTAAAAATATTCAGCATATAATTAGAAAATGTGTAAATATCTAAAATATTCTTTCTGGTTTCTACATACTGATACGGCAACCTTTTGTTGTTTGTTTTTGTTTTTTATGTATTTTCAGAATACTATTGTGGAAGCTTCTATTCAGCTTCCGCCATCCCTTTTCTCCCCAAAGCAAAAAAGAGAAGTCAGACCGACTGATGACTCTCTCTATAAGCTTCAGCTCATCGCATTCCGCAATGGAAAGCTTTTTCCAGCCACCGGGAATTCAACAAATTTGGCTGATGATGGAAAACGGCGTACAGTGGTTACTCCCGTGATTCTTACCAAAATAGGTTTGTATGTGGTGTATGGTATCCTGGAGTCAGTCAGTGGGCAGGGTTGGCTTTATAATTCACTGTTCCTAAAAATGTTTGTTGTTTGTTCCTTCTTGTTTTAATGAGTCACTGGCGGGAGGGGGGGAAAAAGATATTGCAGAGTACCCATGAGTGTATAAGTTGACATTTAGTTGTTCATGAAGTTTGTTTCAGAAATACTTTTGTTTGCCGGTTTCTCCAGATGGCGTGAACGTAGATACCCACCACATCCCTGTTAACGTGACCCTGCGTCGCATAGCGCACGGCGCAGATGCTGTGGCCGCCCAGTGGGATTTCGATTTGCTGAATGGACAAGGAGGCTGGAAGTCAGACGGGTGCCACATACTCTACTCCGATGAAAATATCACTACCATTCAGTGCTACTCCCTTAGTAACTACGCAGTTTTAATGGTATGGCAGTTGTTAACTTTATGCGTAAACAACTCAGTATTCTAATTTTTTCCCTATACATCGTTAAGCTCCAATAAAGTTTTTTGTTTTTTTTTTTAAATCTTAACATAAATTTCTCCCTTTAAGTAAGAGGGGATGGTTGGTATAATTCTGTTTTTAAAGGGAAATTGAATTTCTACCAAGTGAAATGTATGGGATCGAATTTGGTGTAGGAATTTTCAGCAATCTTTGTAAGTGAATCAAAATTTTGGAGACATCTTGGGTCTGTACAGTCCAACGCGGAACCAGTAAAAGTGACTCATTTACCCGAAGATAAACAGTGACTAGTGAAAGAGTTTCCTTCTTCACCATCTAGTGCCTTTTCCAACTGCACATCCTAATTTTTAGTCTCCTTTTGAATTTAGAATAATGGTGATAATTTCAGGTTAGTCAGTGCAAGCAATGGTGTTGACACAAATAACATCTTTTCAATTTTAATGCTAATCAAGCTAATGTTGTTTTTCTGTAACTTACCATTATTCATACCTATTAATCTTTGGTAAAGGAACTAGTGATTAATGTATAGGAACAGGTCTTTTTATTAGTGAGTTATTTAGTGAATCTGATTCTTGAGCAGATAATTATGAAATTAACCATGCTAGTTTTTATTTTATATTACAGCTAGTGTAAGATACTAACATCTTGGAGTTGTGTGCACATGCGTTTCGAGTATGTGGAAGCGATTACTAATGAGTCTGAAAGACATTTCCCAGAAATGGCTCCAGGCGAGCCTGGGAGTAAGGACGCCTACGTTTTTATTTCTGCCTCCAGCTCCGAATCTTATCTAGACAGTTTTTTATGAAAGCATTAACTAGTCTTGAAACATGATACATTTTACTTTTTGTGATTTATTCTTTTCTTAAAAAAGCAAAAGAGCGTTTACCACTAGAAATGATCTTGAAGCAAGCTTGAATGAGAATAGATTTTCCTCAATTCTTGTTTTGGTTTTCTCTTTGCTCCTTAACTTAGTATATACCTTACCTGGCTTACCTGTCAAACAGGAAGAGTCAATAGATTATTTAGCAGGGTATAAGGATTGTCAATTCAGTGACATCCATTGACATGTTTGTTATTCATCCTAGCTGTCAGTGGGCAGAGTCTATACTATTTAGACTCAGCTGTGTTTCTGCCCTTTATCCTTTTGGGTTTAAAGTTAGTGTTGATAGATTAGGATTCTCCTCACAAACAGAAGATGTTTGATTTCTGTGAGTCTGAGTCTGATTTCTGTAAGTTCACATGTTACCAATTTGTAGTAACCTTTCAAATTAAAGCATAAAGCATGAATGAAAGCATCAAGCATTTTCTCTTTCAATGTGAAACTGTCTTCTCATTAAGGTTTTGATTTTAAAATAAACAAACTATGAAGTACTGATTGAGAAATAATAGATACAGAATTATCTGAAATTTATATAGTAGTTAAGTAGAAAAAGTTGGACAAAATAAATGAAACTTAAAAGGCATTTTATAAGGCATTTATAAGCTTCACCGTTAATGACATGAAACTGCAGTATGTGAAACTTTTAGTTTTATTTAATCTAATGCCAGTTAAAGCATCTATTTTTGAATTTTTTAGCTGTTCTTCTAAACTATTTAAATTAGTATAATCCCTTTCTAGAAGAAATAAGCTATTTTATCTTTCATACTTTTAATCTTTTAAAAATGCAATACACAATTCTTTAAAGCTAAAATATAATACTAAGATTTTTTTCTATTTTCAAAAAATATCCTTTTGCTTTTCTTAAATATAACTGTGCCACCTAGAGGCAGCAAAGTGAAATGTATCTGAAATTGTTGACAAAATTATAATAAAATTGGTATATGGGATTTTTTAGAGTTTCTAATTAAACATAAAGGCAAAGTTAAATGAAATTATACATACTCTTAAATAAAGTTATGTCTAAAATGGAAGAAATGTTTTTCAGCAATTGGAAGGTAACACCTTTTTTTTCCTTACTTGACACTATTTTGAATAACATAAAATCCTATTTTTCTTGAAAACTATCTTAATCTATGGTTTTATATAGCAACTCTAAATTTCTATTTTGACAGATAACCCATAAAACTTTTCCTGATCGGGTTTTAAAGAATTTTGTATTTAAAAAAAAAATGAGACAAAAAGAATTATATTTGTTTGTAAATCTCAAACAAATACCATAGTTTGGCTCGGTAGACATCCCGCTATAACCAGTTGTATCCTGAGGTCTCAGTGGGAGCCATAGAGAAAAGTTTTGCAGAAATTGGTTTTGTTTGATTGATATAATCAGAGATAGCCATTTGGGGCAGGAAGATTCCTAGAAGCTGGGGTCAGTAAGAAACAAACAAACAATTAGCAAGTAGATAATGACTGGGTCAAACCATTTATATAGTACTTAGTGCTTTAATGGGCAGTAGTAGTGAAGGTAACATCATTGTTATGCCTTTGTTATATCTCTATACCCCTTTGTTATTGTATTCACCAAGAAATATGAAACGAGAGGACTCATTTCATTTTACATCTCTCTGGTGCTGCCATTAAAGATTGTTTATATAAAGCTTGCTGAATGAAAGCAAACTTCGGTTTCTTTTACTCTATACTTGAGCATGAATGTGCCATCATGTTCCTGTTTATATAATTTTTAAGTAGGTACTACATTCACATGGATCACACGTTTTAATTATGTCTGCACATTAATGTGTAGTGAAAACTTGACTCCGCCTCCTCTCCTGTCAGTCATTCTCTGCAAAATAGGCAACCACTAATATTAGTTTTGTGCATATTCTTGAAGAGATTTTCATGTGGATTGAAACAGAATGAATGAGTTTTCTTCCATTTTTACATGGTAGCTGCTTGCTACAAACATTGTTCTAAACCATGCTTTTTCCCATGAAACTATATTTTAGGATGGTGATGATTTCCATGGACCAACAGATCGGATGCTGATGCCATATCACATGATAGGATGATGGCAGTGGTAGTGATGGTGGTGACTAATTTTCTTTAAGTAGTTATGTATTAGGCACTCTTCTGACATCTTCACATGCATTCACTTACTTGTTCACCATAGCAACCTCATGAAGTAGAGTACTGTTACAGTTATCCCCAGTTTACAGATGGAGAAACTGAGGCATACAGCACTTAAGCACCATGCCCAGGTTTACAAAGTTAGTTATTATTGTAATTGAGATTTGAATTCAGACTCCAGAAACTAGTGTTCTTATCCACTTGACTAAATCACCTTTCTGAAATCTTCGCATATCAATATAAAATAGCTTCTTCATTCTTTTTCACCTTTGAATATTATGTCCCTACTGTAATTTATTTAGATATTCATCTATTTTATTTGCAATAATTTGGTTGTATAGTATTATTCTGCACATCCCCCCCCCCATTTTAACAGTTGAAAGCTGTATATCAGAATATTTTATTCCTGCATCTTATCAATTGTTTGTTTCATATATTTTCCATTCAAGAATCTTTGTCCAGCTGTAGTCTAGTGATAACGATAACCACCTTGCTGAGGTGAGCGCCCACGTGAACCGAGGTGCCGTTAGCCTTCTCCCGCTGCTCTCGTTCAATGTCAGAGACATATTTCTTCCTGTAACCCTGGACTACTTTGCCAATTTGCTGCCCTTTGTGGTGTCCTCATACAACCTGAATGAACTTCATCATGCTTTCGGATGGGCGTGAATAGAACAGTGAACTTCTGTCTCAGCCCTTTGGAAAGAGGAGAGGCCATAAGCTTCCTGCGAATGTGGGAAGGTGCATGGAAATGTCTTTTATGGTTCTTGTTCCTGTCAGAAGTCACAAAGGGGTTGAACTTCATTTTGGCCACTGACGCTTCAGTGTTGGCCCCAGAAGGGAAGAGCTGTTTTGCACATTTAATAGAAAATCTGCAGGATAGAGTCTCTGAAGTGGAATTGGTAATCAAAGATAGACTCACACTTTTTCCTTGAATGGAGATATTGAGCAAAGTGCATAGATCTTCAGCAAGCATGTGGCTTGCTGATACTTTTACACTGAATACACACATGTAGCTACCATGAAGATCAAGATTCTTACTTGAGCACTTGGTATAGCTCCCGCGTTTCTTTCTAGTCAGTTCCCATCATTGCCTCAACAGGTAAGTTTGGCCTATTAAAGCTCATGTAATTGGAATTCTACGGTGTATACTCTTCTGTGTCTGGTGTCTTTCCCTTACATCTGTGAGATGTATCTTCGTATTTGCACTAGCAGCAGCTTATTCTTTTCCATTGCTACATAGTAGTCCATTGTATAAAAATGGCAAAACTTGTGCATTCTTCTGTTGATGGGCATTTGGGTCATTACTAGGTCCTGACTATCAAGAAAACGCTGCTGTGATTACTCATGTACATGTTTTCTGAGGGACATACGCACTCAGGAATGAAATTGCTGGATTGTAGGCTATCCATATATTTAGCTTTAGTAGATAATGCCACAGAAGTGACCGGAATGGTTGTATTGGTTTCTAGTCTCAGCCATAATGAGAGTTTTAGTTGCCTCACATCCTTGGTATTGTAAGTCTTTAATTTTAGTCCTTGGTGGTGGCATTATTGTATCTCATTGGGTTTTATGTGTGGGCTTTAATTTGTCTTCCTCTGGTGACTAATGATGTTAAGCACCTCTTCATTTTCTTGTCAGTTTGGGTATCCCCTTTTGTGACATTCTTGCTCAAGTTTTGCCTTTTTTTCCCCATTATCTTCGACTTTTATATCTTTTTCTTTCAGTTTTTTTGAGATATGATTGACATACAGCACTGTGTAAGTTTAAGGTGTGCATCATAATGACTTGACTTAAAATATATTCTGAAATAATTACCACAATAAGTTTAATTAACACGCATCATCTGATATAGTTAAAAAAAAAAGGAAAAAGTTTTTTCATTGTGATAAGAACTGTTAGGATTTACTCTCTTAACAACTTTTAAATATACCATGCAGCAGTATTAGCTATAGTCACCATGTTATACATTACAGCCCCAGTATGTCTTATAACTGGAAGTTGGTACTTTTGGACTATGTTCATCCAACTCACCCCACCCCTGCCTCTGGGCTGTTTCTATGAGGTTGTTTGTTTGAAGATTCCACCTATAAGTTGTGCCTATTTTTCATTCACTTGTCTGTTGTTTTCTTAGTGACTTACAGGAATTCTTGATATGAATTGTGAGTAGGAGTTTTCTGTTGGGTTTCTGTGTTGCAGATATCTTCTCCCAGTCCATGCCTGTCTTAGTCCATCCAGGCTGCTGTAACAGAATACCACAGACTGGGTGGCTTCTAAACAACAGAAACTTATTTCTCAAAGCTCTGGAGGCTGCAAGTCCAAGATCAAGGTTCAGTTTCTGGTGCGGGTCCACTTCCTGTCCTCACATGATGGAAGGGGGCTCTACCTCCTAATACAATTACACTGGGGATTAGATTTCAACATATATGAATGGGGGATGGGGGGTAGGGGGATAGGGAGACACAAACATCCAGCCTATAGAAATGTCTATCATTTTTCTCTTAATGTCATCTTTTTATGAACAGAGTTTCTCGATGTTGTTTTTTTTGTTTTTTTATGTAGTGTTTTTTATGTCCTATTTAAGAAATCTTCGCTTACATCAAGATCATGAAGACATTCTCCTGTGTTTCCTTTAAGCAGCTATAGTCTGTTTTCCCTTTCACATTTCGGTCCTTGATTCCACTGACGTTGACTTTTGAGTATGGTGTGATGTAGGGAGAGCAACATCTTTAAATTATTCTTTGTTTTTTAGAGCAGAAATAAAAAGCAACATGAAATTCAGTTTTATTTTTTTTACAGTTCTGATTTCAGATCTATTTTTAAATTTTATTTTGGTAAACTATTTGTATAATTCTTTATACTGACAGAGGGGACCCTGGTAAATAAATATATGTATAGAACTTCCATTATTTAGATCCTGGTGAATTTAGATAATTACTGGTTCATAATTATCCATGTTTATTGATATGATGCTAATGAATTATTTAAAACTGCCAGTGATTTTACATTTTAGTGATTCTCGGGCTAGAAGTAACTTGTAAATATGTGAATCTTTTTCTCTGAAGGAAACAGATTTTCAAGAACGCTTCTTCCATTTATGTGGGTCATGAATAGTAGATATCTTTGTGACTTTTAAACACTTTCAGGTGTTCTGTTACTCTCTGCAGCCGTGTACTGTACTTCCGTGGAAAACTTTTCACTTCCTAGCTCAGTTGTTTTCTTAAACTTTGTACCATATTGAAGAGTGATTAAGATCACCGTTTAGTTTAATGTTGGGCTGTTGTCAGAGACTTCCTGTCTTATCACTGGATTGCAAATGTGAATGACACTTTCACTTGCTCCTCTCATGGGTGTCTCCTAGTGGCCACTTTTGGGCAGTGTATTTAGTAGTATTTCACTATCACAAAAGGCAATATCACAAAGCCTATATTTGTTTACTCATATAATGAAAAACAGTTTTGAGTCCGATTTTTACTTTTTCTCTCTTGTATGAGATGTTTAACATCTTTCCTATCCTACTCTTTTCAGTTGTCTTAAGTAGTCTTATATTGGAAAGAATTTTGTGCCATCAAGATAAGAGGTTTTTTTGTATCTGATTTGTTCCCTTTATACCAGGGGTCTGTAAACCCTGGGAACATTTGACACACAGGCCAAATCCAATCAGCTGCTGTTTGTTTGTTTGTTTGTTTGTTTGTTTGTTTGTTTGTTTGTTTGTTTTAAATGCTGGAAAGCCAAAAGTGGTTTTAAAGTTCTCTAATGGTTAGTGGTTAATAAATACCTGCGTTGTAGCCTCAGTTTGCCTCTTGGCCTGCGAAGCCTAAAATATCTACTGTGTGGTCTTTTATAGCTTTCCTCCCTAGGTCAGTTTCTCTTTCATCTGGGCAGGTCAGTTTGTTGTGACAACCAGAAAATGACAGTAGGACTTACCCTGTTCTTCAGTCATAACTTGGAATTATGAGTCATTGCCCCCTGTTTCAAAATCCACTTTCTTTCTCATACTATGTCACATTTGTTGGGCTTTTGAAAAATACCGGTTTCTTTTAAATGTAAATATTCTGTGCACTATATTTTGAGAACTGAATCGGCACCTTGTCTGGTGTTTTATTAGGCACTGACCAGCTGTCCGAGTTGAGTCCTGTCTGCCCGGGATTGTGGAAGGCACGTTTACACACCCTCCTTCTGGCCCTCACCCCAGGCCTGCCTGCCTGTTGGTGGTGTCTCCAGTTGTAACTGCCCCAAACTCACATCGCTAGCGAGCAAGTGGACACGTGGGACTGAAATTTTTCTGGAGGAATGGAAGACACGCAGGGGCCACATCCTCGATATTGAAAGTTTATTCTCAGTTCCTAATTCTGCCCAGGAATAGTCACTTCTAGTAGAAATGTAGGGGGAAATGGTGTCTACTCTTACTAGGATCTAACGTGTTTTGAATTTCCTCACTGACATTCTGGACTGTTAGCAAAACGCGAATACGTGGAGGCCCCAGGCCATGGGCTAACCTTGTGGGCCTCTCACGGGCCTGTTGTTCAGTATGTGTGGCGATTGGCTCTTTCTCTTGTATTTTCCTTTCCGGGCACTTAGTTTACAGACTGTCAGCCTGCGAGGGCTGGGACTCCATCCTGCATTTTCCTGAATATCCGGTGTTGGCAGAGCGCCTGGTCACGGTGGGCACCCAGTTAACGTTTGTCAGATAAATAGATGGATTGCGGGTTTGAGACTCATCGCAGTGCAGTGGAGCACGGCGACTGGAACTCAGTTTTCCACGTTGTATTTCCAGGTTTCCATTCACTGTGATTTTTGTCAGGCTCCGTGGGCCTCTGTTCATCGTTTGTTGCAGTGAGGGGCCTATTAAGGTGTTCCGGTGTGATCATTTAAGATCTATAGTCATATAATTATCAACTTCGGGTTCTTTTATAGGAAAGTTGGCCGCTTCCTTCCCTGCACAGTTGAGGCCCGTGTCAGCCTTCCTGTTGCTCATCCGTTCTGTCCTTGTTTCATCTCGCATCTCCTCTCAGGTGATGTCTCAAGCTTCCAGAGTCAGTTTAGAAAGACAGTTTCATGACGGGATCTGGTGAGCCTACGGGGCTTTGACTTCTGCCGCCCCATTTTCTGGCACAGTGGCCGTGGCCGGGGTGGACGTGTCTTCCCAGCCTGCTTTGGTCCTTTGTAAGGAAGAAAGCCTTCCGATGCTCACTGTTTTCCTTTTAGGGAGGTGCTGTCTGCACTGCTGGGGAGCACAGAGCTGGGAGCCACGCTCCTTTGGATCTAATCCTCAGGCACGTACCCTCTTCATGCCTCCATTTTTCAAGCTGTAACATGCGGCTAATATCCCTAGCTCACGGGTTGCTCGGTGTAAGGTGCTGGTACAGTGCCTGGATTATGGAAATGCTACGTAAGTGGCTTGCTGTTATTATTTACTATTATTGATGTTTACGCCCTTACTTGCCTTGGACATTGTTGTGACCTGATTGTGCATCTGTCTCCCCTGTGACTCTCAGCTCTTCAAGGCCAGGAACCACATCTTACCGTTATGTCCCCAGTACCTTGCACAGTGTTTGGCCCGTTTGTATTTGTTGAACTTGACTGGACTGCAGGTAGTTAGGAGGTCCGTCTAGACATTTTTGACATAGAGACACTGCTGTCTTGTGCCTTATCAGTTGATGAATATGCAGCATGATAAGTGGGTTGAAAGGGCATGAAAAAGGATGACATCTGTGGACTCCTGTTCGCTCTCCCATCCCCTCATAGCGATGGCAGTATTCAGGTTTATAAGGCAGAGCAGTGTAACAAAGAACAAGCATGTAGATGTGTACACACACACACACACACACACACACACACCTACACCTCTGTAAGTATATATACCATAAATAGCACAGTGGAAGTTGGGAATGGAAATTAAGGTATAAGGAAGAGAATAGCTCACATTAGTCCTTGGAGAGATGTAAGGGCCTGATTTTTGTTTATCGGTGGTAGTCACTGGAAGAAACCTCAGTAGTTGCACGTCCAGGATGATGCTTTCTTCTCCCCTCAGGACCTGACGGGATCTGAACTGTACACCCCGGCAGCCAGCCTCCTGCACCCCGTGGTTTACACCACTGCTGTCATTCTTCTCTTATGCCTCTTAGCAGTCATCGTCAGTTACATATACCATCACAGGTAAGAAATGGAGCTTGACAAGTAATAGGACTTTGCTTTAGAGGAGTTCATTTCACTTTTCATTAAGATAAAACTGAGTGTGATACCATGCCATCTTTCCAAAGCAAGAGCAAGTACTTTAGAATACATACAGGCTATGTTCAGTTCATGTAGCTTGAGCCATGACTAATTTAGTCGATGAGAGAGCAAACCCATCTTTCATGGCATCCGTTCAGTTGGCTGGGTTGTACCTGGGAAGGAGTGTGGGAAGTATGTGTTGGAGGCTGGAGGTGGGACATGGGAGCAACAGGGCGAGGTAAGGTGGAGGCCTGTTACCTGTACAGGTGCCTTCCGGAACCAGACTGTGGGATTACTTCTGGTGTATAGCTTTCCCCACTGTGAGAGTCTTTCTTTTGGAGATTGCATTTTTAAGAAAGTGTGTGGCATTTTCACATGGAATAAGGTTTTTGTTAATTGGCGGCAAAGCTAAAGAAACTTTAATGGGGCTGGCCGAGTGGCGCGATGGTTAAGAACTGGCTTGGGACGCCAGAGGGCCCCGGTTCGGATCCCACATATGAGGGCCAGTGACACTGCCCTCTACAGCTAAGATGCTGAACAACAGCTCAACCTGGAGCTGGGCTGCCTTGAGTCGCCGGCGACGGCGTAGGCTGCAGCCCCTGTGGCAGTGTGTTGCCATGGGCTACCGTATGTAGCCAGCAGCCAGCGTGAGCGGCCAGCAGCCGCAGTGAGCGGCCGTCCAGAAGCCGGCGACTGATCTGCCTCGCCCGGGAAGAGCACAATGATGGTGCCAACTTGGGCCAGTGAAGCAACGTCCTCCACAACTAGACTGAAGAACAAAACAACAGCAACTTGTCTGTTCCCCTTCCCCCAATTCCCCATCACTGTTCCCATCCCCCCAATTCCCCAATAAAAATCTTTAAAAAAAAAAAAAAAGAAAAGAAACTTTAATGATAGGAATAGTGAACTGAAGGGAGTTACGAAGCAGAAATTCACTTTATAAGAAGTTTTGCTAGAATGTATTTTCCTATTTAAGCTGAACATATATGACATTTGTTGACATTTAGTTAAGAAACAAAAGGAGATTTTGATTTTTTTTAGAATAAAGAAAGAAAGAAAGACTTCAGCATTTCATTAGAAAAGGCCAAGAAGAAATGCACTGGGCAACAGCAGGTCAGGGAAATACAGATTGGCACCTTGCAGAAATCTCCAGGAAGCAAACAAGTTATTCATCTGTCATGAACCATCATAACTAACAAAAGCCCATGTTTCTTATTGTGGAGAGTTTCTTTAGCCTTTAGTGGGTACAGCAGTTCCATAAATGACTTGTCGTTTTAGTATGTAAAGTTAAATGTTAAGAAACTTTACTGAGTTAAATGATTTCTCAAAATGTGTGTGCCTGTTGGTCTCCCTGAAAGTATATGTTTTTTTCTTTAAACAAAATGTTTACTTAAATGTGGCGTTTTATGCTACTGGAGTTGTTAACTTGAAGACAAATATTTTCCCCTGCTTCAAATGTACTCGCCTGAATATTATTATTTTCCTTTTTCTTTTGACAGTTTGATTAGAATCAGTCTCAAGGGCTGGCACATGCTTGTGAACTTGTGCTTTCATATTTTCCTGACCTGTGTCGTATTTGTGGGAGGAATAACCCAAACCAGAAATGCCAGTGTCTGCCAAGCGGTAAGCCTGAGAGAAAAGCTGTAGTGGAAAAACAATATTAATATTAGCGAGTAATTTCATGTGTTTCATTAATTGTAAAAGGGAAACAGTTTCCTTAAAATTTTTGTCTTTAATTCAAGTTAAACTCAATGCCTGTCACTTAAACAGTTTACCAGTATACTTAGGTTTTGAATTATAATTTCACTACTGAAGGTATGACTTAAGGAACTTGTCTCTTTATCTTTGGAAATTCAGTGCTAGTTGTCATTATGTCTATTATAATGCTGAACACTTAATTTAAAAAATTGTATAAAATCCTCACTTGAGCTGAAAGAGAAGTAATATTTTCTAACAGTAGGATTTTAAAAATCATTTCATTTGTCAATGAAAACAATAGAAATTTGAAAAATATTTAACTGTAAGCTATGAAATGAAGCAGCTTTTTAGGCGCAGTAAATGTAAAGAATTAAATCATATTCAATTTTTAATTTTAAAGAAATTATTACACATATAGCCTTAGTGAATAGTGTTCTTGCAGAATAAGTATAAGAAAAAGGAAACTATTCAATATATGAACAGAAAATATGTAAAATTTTATTTCTGTATTTGCGTATGGTTTTCCATATGCATGGCAGCAAGCATTAGTAATTGGGAATTCAGACTGCCAATATTTGGATCTCAGTTCTGTTTACTAACTGTGCTTTTATGGGCAATTTATTGAACCTTCCTTTTAATTGCAGAAAACATAACGAGATCTACCCTCTTAAATTATGACGTGTGCAGTATAGTATTAATGACAAGTGCAGCAGGTGTCTCGAGTTTATTCATCTTGCACGACTGAAACTCTACACCCATTGACGAGCATCTCCCCACTCCCCCCACCCCACCTCGCTCCTCGCATCCACCATTCTGTTTTCTGTCTCTGCGACCTGGACTACATAGTTAGATACCTCATAGAGGTGGAATTACGAAGTACTTTTCCTTCTGTGACTGGAGCATTTCTTTTAGCCTGATGTCTTCAAGGTTCATCCATATTGTTGCATTGACAGGATTCTTTTTTTAATGGCTGAATAAATATTCCACTGTATGTATATACAGCATTTTTTGTTAGTTTCAGGTGTACAAAATAACATAATGATTAGACATTTACACCCCTCACAAAGTGATAAACACCCCCAAGTCTACTACCCCTCTGACATCGTACGTAGCTATTACAATACCATTGACTGCATTCCCTATGCTCTACTGTATATCCTGTGACCATATATATATACATATATACACATACACACACATATTTTTGACATTCAACATTATATTAGTTTCAGGTGTATAGCACAGTGGTCAGGCATCTATACAGTCCATGAAGGGATCCCCCTGATAAGTCCAGTGCCCACCTGACACCCTACATAACCCTTATAACATTATTGATTGTATTCCCTATACTGTATTTCACATCCTTGTGACTATTTTGTGACTACCAATTTCTACTTTCTAATCCCTTCACCTTTCTCCCCATCCCCCAACCCCCTCGCATCTAGCAACCATCAGTTTTTCCTCTGTATCTCTGAGTCTATTTCTGTTTTGTTTGCTCATTTATTCTGTTCTTTAGATTCCACATGTAAGTGAGATCATATGGCATTTGTCTTTCACAGTCTGACTTATGTCACTCAGCATAATATCCTCTAGGTCCATCCAAGCTGTACAACATTTTCTTTATCCATCATCTGTCAGTAGACATTTGGGTTGTTTCCACCTCTTGGCTGTTGTGAGTAACGCTGCAGTGTACATGGATGGGGTCACAGACATCTCTGTGAGATCCTCATTTCAATATTTTAACTTTTCTGTCTCAGTTTTCTCACCTTTCATTTGGGAATAATTTTGTTGTTGTCAAATGATATGATTATATTTAAAGAAAATCCTAAAGTAACTTACTGGTAAATTATTTTAAATAATAAGAAAGTTTAGCAAAGAGTGAATGTGAGTTTAATATATAGAAGTTTGCTTCTTGTATGAGAAATGCAACTATGAGAAAACATAATTAATGAAAAGATACCATTTATATGGTATCAAAGAATCTCAACTACCTAGAAATAATAAAAGATGTTCAAACTTTACAGGTAACAATTTAAGATGTATTAAAGAAGACATAAAAGCTAGATCGTGTCCAAGGATGGAAAGAGTTAACATCAGAAAGGGGCGGTTTCTCCTAATTTAATAGATACATAGGAAGAGAATTTTTCATGAAACTCAATAAAATGCTGTTCATACACACAGACCCAGGGAAAAGTCCTGAGACTAAAAATCTGCTTCCGTAAGTAGAGGGCAGGGAAGGATGGACGAAAGAAGCAGACACTCCAGTCTGGCAATCAACAGAGCTTATTAAGGGAAACTTGCCTACGAGGCACGTCTGGGTGGCTGCAGGATGACTTGGATATCCCCTGACTGCTTCGCAGGCACTAAAGACTTCTACAGAACAGGGCAGGATGGACGGGGGGTGCTGGTCTGTGATCAGTCCCAGGTGCGGGAAAATGCCGTACATGCTTGACCAGGTCAGGACAGTGGCCTGTTCCAGGAACCAGCACCCGTAAGACACAAGGTGCTGGTTCCTGTGTCAGAAGGCTAGCATCGATTATGGTCAGACGTCTGGTCTCCAAGGCGGGTTATAGGAAGCAGACAGTCTCCATCCTGGTCTTGATCTAGCTCATGGGTCTGACAGTCCCTCCTCCACAAATGGTTTTAAGATTTATATAAAAATAAAGGACCAAAGATAGACAGGACACTTCTGAAAAAGAAGAAGAGTAGAGTGGAGGGTTGTCCTCATCATCAGGGCTTATGAGGCTGTTGTAATTAAAACTGTAGCATTTGGTTTTGGGGCCAGGAATTGACCAGCACGATGGGATCGAGCGGTCAGAAGCAGACCCACATGGGACTTTGGTACAGAGGTTGCATGCTTATCATTGGGCAAAGAGAGCCCACTGTGCAGTAAAGGGAGCTAGGGAAAGTCCATTTGGAAAAAGATGGAAATGGATCTATACCTCGTGTCATCTATAGAAAGAAAAAGTCAGCTCTGGGTGGATTAAAAACTTACATGCCCCACTTTTCCTGTAGGAGCCTCCAGGTTGAGGGGACCAGGGCAGTCTCCTCTCCCCGCCAGGGTGTGTTGCTCGTCCACTCTGGAAAGGGGGAAGCACCTGGCGAAAGTGTCACTGCGCCTGCTGTGTTCAGGGCTCCCTTTCAGCCAGATATTGTGAACTCTTCACACCAACTTGCACAGAAACAATAGACGGCCCTGTGCTGTCAGTGAATTAGCAGGTCATCAAACCAGTGCTGAGCCATGGGATCCTGGCAGACCTGTGGCTCAAATCCCCCGAGTTCAGGCAGTGGGACTCATCATCCTGGCCAGGGTGCTTTGGACAGTATGTGCCGTGGGGGCCACATGTGTGCACCAACCAAAACCTGGCACCATTGGCACCGCAGAGTGAACACAAACACAGACGAGCTATGCCATCTGCTCTGCTCTGGCTGTCGTGGCCTTACCAGCGCTGGTCATGTCTAAAGGGCATCGTGTGAAGGAGGTTCCTGAACTTCTTGGTGGTTGAAGATAAAGTCGAAGACTACAAGAAGACCAAGGAGGCTGTTTTCTTCTTAAGAAGCTTCAGGTCTGGAATGATATCAGAAAGCTCTGTGCCTCTGAGCGAATGAGAGCTGGCAAGGGCGAAATGAGAAACGGTGGTTGTATCCAGCACAGGGGACCTTGCGTCATCTATCATGAGGATAGCAGCAGCATCCAAGGCTTCGGAAAAATCCCTGGAACTACTGTGCTTAACCGAAGCAAACTGGACACTTTGAAACTTGCTCCTGGTGGGCATGGCGACTGTTGTTGCATTTGGACTGAAAGTGCTTTCTGCAAGTCAGATGATCTGTATGGCAGTTGGCGTAAAACTGCCTCCCTCAAGAGTAACTACAAACTTCCCACACACAAGATGCTCAATACAGACCTGAGCAGAATCCAGAAAAGCCCAGAGATCCAAAGAGCCCTTTGAGCACCACGCAAGAAGATTCATCACAGAGTCCTGAGGAAGAATGCACTGAAAAACCTGAGAAGCACGTTGAAGCTAAACCCACATGCAAAGACCATGCACCAGAGCACCATTCTTCACCGGGTCAGGATTTACAAGTTCCAGAGGGATAAAGCGGCAGCAGTTCTAGAAGCCAAGTCACATGAGAAGGGGGGTTCCAGGCGAGAAGCCAGCGGTAGGAAAGAAAGGAAAGAAGGCTGTTGGCTTACGAAGCAGAAGCCTTTGTCGGGAAGAAAGGCTGCAGCTACCGAGAAACCAGCAGCTGAGAAGAAGGCTGCAGAAAAGAAACTCACCACAGAAGAAAAGACGCCTGCGGCATAAATTTGTTTATTCCATAAAGGTCAAATCACTTTGGACAGCTAGCTTTGAATAAAAACCTGATCAAAGAGGTAGTAGAAAAAAAACCCAAAAAACAAACTTGCATGCCCAAACCAAAATGTTAAAATTCATAGGAGTATTACAAATTATCACAGTCCTTGGAATAAGGAGGGATTTCTGAAAAATGACACCAAAAAGCATTGACTAGAAAAGAGATCATTTTGACTAAGTTAAAAATAAGAGCTGTTGTTGAAGATTTCTTAAACAAAAGTGAAAAGACAAATTTCAAATTGGAAGAAGTCATTCTCAATACAGACCACTGACAACATTAGAGTAAAATGTATTAAAAACTATAATCAATGAAAAGGCCACCAAACACCCAGTAGAAAAAATGACAGGAGAGTAGGCAGATGTTGCCTAGAAGACTCAGTACACAGGGCCGGTACACACACAAAGAGAAGTTCACAGTCCTTGGTGGTCGTGGAGATGCAAATTAAGACCGCAGTGAGTTATCATTGTATGCCTTTTCTGTCGACAACAATCAAGCCTGACAGTGTCAGGTATTGAACATGTGAACCCACATGATCTTTCATACACTGCCAGTGACGATGTGAGTGGGTG